TGATCCCAGCAGTCACAATCACCTTATGCTTCCAAGTTAAATGTTCTTTGAACTCTTTTTGAATGTATTACTCATTTTAAATGATATTAGAGCAATATGTATGTGAGAGTTTTATCACCATGTATGTAAATTTACAAAGGGTTGTCATTAATAATAGCTGTTTTAATAGAAAATGATTGCTTGATAAATCTGTTGGTGGCCATCTTATCATTAGAGACAGAAGAGTCAAATCTTAGTAACTGAAGAGTTTAGATAGAGAGCTGTGCCAGCGATTCTGTAAAAGCTGTCAGAGTGAGACAAGAATGCTAAGCAATGGAGATCAAATACAGAAACCACAGATGCTGAACTGAGGAACCGAAAGCTAGGGAAAGTGTAGCAGAGGGCAAAGGAGTAGAAATGTCTAAGGAACTCAAATGGTGAAAGGTTTATCTGTTCTTATTTTCCTTCCTTTTTTTTTTTTTTTTTTTTTTTTTTTTTTGACTCTCATACCAGTAGCTCCTTCCATGATCATGTTTGCACTCACTAAAGATAATAACATAAGATTTCTCCCTGTTTTTTGGCTATAGAAACTTGGGAGGGAAGTATCACGTATTTTACTGTTCTTCTACCCTTTGGAATTTTCTGTTGCACTTATATACTCAGTATGTAGCTGTTCCAATTTGGTAAGTGTTTACTCACTCTCTGGCAAATCAAAAGATGTTGATTTCTAGTAACTACACTCTATGAGGAGATGAATACAAATACAAATGAGGAGATGATGCAAAATATTTAGAACTAATATGAACGGAATGTGTGATAGTGCCTTTATTTTTTATTATTATCTTATAAATAGAAAACATAAAATTATAAAAGTAATACATAAGGCTAAATTTAAAAGTAAAAAGCGTATAGAGTAAAAAGTGATTGTTTCCTTAATATAGTTCTCATGATATCCACACATCCAATCCATACAAAAAAAGACCAATACACACACATTTTCTTTTTTACTAATTGTATGTATTATATTCACATTGTTTTGTCATATGCATTTTTTGCAATGATTAGAAATATCTTTCCATTACAAAACATATCTAAATAATGTCTTTTATTACCTTCATTGTTTTTCTTAGTATTCAACATTCCCTAATTACTGCATATGTAGCTTGGTTTCCAGTTTTTTCTAAATTATAAACAATGATGCAGTGAACACTTGAGTATAAATATTTTTGCATACAAGACCACTATTTCTTTAGGTGGTTGATTCCTAGAAATGTAATTGCAGAATCAAGTGTAACAACATCCAAAAATGCTATAACAACTCACAAAAGTTTATGAGAATGATTATTTTCTCACAAGCTTAAAAGACTACATATCTAACATTCATTCATTCTTTCTCAAATATTTATGGAGAGCATGCTATTTGCTAAGCATTGTCATAGGCACTAAGGATGCAATGATCAACAAAACAATGTCCTTTCCATTAGGGAGTTTGCATTCCATTGGGGGAGAAAGGCAATAAACAAACACATAAAAATATAAAATGTCAAGAACTGAAAAATGTTATGAAGTAAAATAAAGCAAAGTAAGGAGATAAGGCAAGACTATTTTATGTAGGATGGTCAAGGAAAACTACTGTAATCAACAACTGATTGAAATATAGAAACAACTATAAGACTATATGGTAAAAGGATTTATGAAGAGAGAGAATGAGTTGCATTTCCAGAATGGCTGACTGGGGACATGGTAACTCTCCCTAAAAATGAAATTATAAAACTGAACAAAATTATCAATAAACAACCTTCTAAACAGTCAGGAAGTTGATCAAGCATACGAGAACTTGCAAAGTGTTTATTTAAGAAAATCTAGACCTCAATAAGAACAGTGGATGTCTGTAGCATGTTAGTTTGGGACTGTTCCCACTCTTCCCACCTGATATGGTTAGGCTTTGTGTCCCCACCCAAATCTCATCTTGAATTGTAATCCTCAGGTGTTGAGGGAGGAACCTAGTGGGAGGAAATTAGATCATGAAGGCAGTTTTCCCCATGCTATTCTCATGATAGTGAGTGAGTTCTCATGAGATCTGATAGTTTTATGAGTGTTTAGCTAGTTCCTCATTCACTCACTCTTCTTTCTCCTGCTGCCATGTGAAAAAGGTCCTTGCCTTCCCTTTGCCTTATGCCATGATTGTAGGTTTCCTGAGGCCTCCCCAGCCATATGGAACTGTGGGTCAATTAAACCTCTTTCCTTTATAAATTACCCAGTCTTGACAAGTTTGTTATAACAGTGTGAAAACAGACTAATATACCACCCCACCCTCAGATTCCATTACGCAGAAGTTTACCTTGGTGAGTCAGACTGTGAGACCCAGCAGCCTCACTGCTTGAGAGGACTAGTTTTATTTGGAACAGAGTTCAGAAAGTTCCATTACCAAGAGGGTTATTAAAACAACCATAATCCCAGTGGCAAACAAGCAGGTAAGGCCAATGTCATTCCTAGCCTGACCATGATCACAATACTTGTTGGGGCAAAAAATTTACTAGCAACCTACCAGAAACTCAACAGAGAAATCTGAAGAACAGGACAGCCACAGTGAACCTTGATAACTTCCTACTTTTCCCCTGTAGTCTGGAAGAATATAAATATGTGCAAAGCTATATACATACTAAGGAGACTGGAGAAGGTCATAGTGAGCCCTTGGTTGAACAAGAGGCCTTGCAAAAATAAAGTAAAAGCTGGGGCAGCCTCAACTTTGAATATACTGCTCAAGCTACACTGATTCATTAGGAAAGGGTAGAAGTTTTACTGGCTCAAGGTGTCTAATACTTTCCTAGAGCTTCTATAACAAAGCACCACAAACTGTGGCTTAAACAACAAATTTATTTTCTTACAATTCTAGAGGCTAGAAGTTCAAGATCAAGGTGTTGGCAGGGTTAGTTTCTTCTGAGGCCTCTCTCCTTGGCTTTCACTTGGCTGTCTTCTTCCTGTGTCTTCACATGGTCTTTTCTCTTTATGTGTCTGTGTCCTAGTCTCTTCTAAGCATACCAGTCATATTGCATTAGGGCTTATTCTAATTACATTATTATAACTTCATTGCCACTTAAAAGACCCTATCTCCAAATACAGTCATATTGCAAGGTATTGGGAGTTAGGACTTCCAGTATTCCAAGATACTGGTGGTTAGCAATAACCACTGCTCCTGGGAAATAAGGCAATCAGAATCTAAAATTGCTATGATATATTATCTAAAATGTCCAGTTTTCAACAACAAAAATATGAAAATAATAGGAAATAGTTAACCATAGAGTTCAAAACAACACTTAACAGACATAGTGTCTTGGAGCAAGGGAAGGATAAATGTTGGACTTAACAAAGAAAGGCTTCAAAAATTAGTAAATATGTTTGAAGAATTATAAGATGGCAACAATGATTCATCAAATAAAAGTCAATTAAAGAGACAGAAATTATAAAAAACCCAATGGAGGTTCTAGAGTTTAAAAATACAAGAACTGCAATGAAAAACCCAAAACCCACTAGAGGAACTCAAGAGCAGAGGTGAGCTGACAAAAGACAAAATAAACAGACATAAAGATAGCAAAAAAGATATTGCCCAGTCCAAAGAACAGGAAAAAAAAGAAAATGAAGAAAACTGAACAGAACCTCAAAATCCTCGGAGATACCATCACATGTATAATGGGAGTCCCATAAAAATGGGGAGTACCAGAAACAAATTAAAGAAATAATGGCCCCAAATTCCCCTCATTTCATGGAAAATATTCAATACATCCAAAAAGCTCAAGGATCTTCAAGTAAAATAAACACAAAGAGATCCACTCCTAGACACCTCCATGTCAAACTGATAAAAAGGAAAATCTTGAAAGCAGTGGGAAAAAAAAAGACTCTTCATATACAAGGGAACCACAATAATATTAAGAGCTGGGCTCTCATCCAAAACAATGGGTGGGATATTAAAGTACATGGGGAAAAACAGGCAGGAATTCTTTATCCTTTAAAACTATCCCTCAAAAATGAAGGTGAAATAGAGACATACACAGATGAATAATGTGTTGCTAGCAGAAATTCCTCATGAGAAACACTGAAGGAACTTCTTTAGACTGAAAAGAAGTGACATCAGATGAAACTCGAATGCACATAAATAAATAAAAAAGTATCAGTAAAAGTAATTACGTAGGTGGTTATGAAATGTGCTTTCTTCTGTTTACTGATTTAAAAGACAGTTGCATTAATCTCATTGGGCTCACCCAGGTAATCCAGGATGATTACCTTAATTTAAGGTCGTGTTATTAGTAACATTAATTCCATCTGTCATAACTACTCAGTTCCACTTTTTAGCATGAAAGTATTCATAGACAATACATAAAGGAATGGATATGGCTTGTTCCAGCAAAACTTTATTTACAAAAAAGGGCAGTGGGCTAGATTTGGTCCATGTATCATAGCTTGCCAACCCTTCTTCAATAGATAGTTTCTCCATTTTTATCTTAAATTTTAAAAGATAAGATCATAAAAGCAGTAATTATAACACCATATTGGTAGTTATATAATATATATAGATAGAATATATGACAATAATAGCTCAAAGAAAAGGAAAGGGAATGAGTTATATGGGAATAAAGTTGCTGTATTTTACTGGAATTGAATTAGCATTCATCTGAAGTAGACTGTGATAAATTAGGGTGCCTATTTAGTGATTAAGAAAGCTAAAAATATAACAGCTTAAAAATAAGGGAATTAACATATACAAAGTATGTTTAATTTTTTAAAAATAAAGAACACAATGGCCAGGCTTGGTTGGTTAACAGCCATATTCCCAGCATTTTGGGAGGCCAACTCAGGAGGACCATTTGAGCCTAGGAGTTTAAGACTAGCCTGGGCAACATGACGAGACCTCGTCTCTACAAAAAAAATAAAAATAAAAACATTGGCCAAGCATGGTGCTACATGCCTGTGGTCCCAGCTACTTGAGCGGCTGAGGTGGAAGGATCATTTGAACCCAGGAGGTCAAGGCTGCCATGAACCGTATTCATGTCACTGTACCCCAGCCTGGGTGACAGAGCAAAACCCTATCTCACAAAAAAAAAAAAAGGAAAATAAGACACATGAGACACATATAAAACAAATAACAAAATGTCAGATATAAATCTATTCATTGTAATAACAACATTAAAATGACAATGAGATGTTTTAAAATACCTACTGAAATGAATGAATTTCAAAATATTGATGACGCCAACAGATAACAAAGATTATGGATAAAAGAAATATCTCTCACACTCCTGGTTGAAATATAAGTTATTGCAACAATTTTTAAAACCTTTTGGGCATTACCTACTAAAAATTAAACTGTGCATACCCTATGATCAGTAATCTCAGTCTTTGGTATATAACCAACAGAAAGAAACATTTGCCCTTATGCATTCAGATAAACTTCTAGGAATATATAGAGAGCAGTATTATTCACAGTGGCCCCAAAGTGGAAACAACACAGGTGGGTGACTGGTGAATAAGTTGAGGTGTATTACTTTATTGAAATTTGACATGCTGATTAAAAGGAACTATACCTGCACTTAACAACATGGATACATCTCACAAATACAATGTTGAGTATAAAAACTCAAAAGAATGCATAGTTTTAAAAACTCCATTCATATGAACTTTGAAACCAGGTAAAACTAAAACTAACTTAGAGTGTTTAGGGATGCAAGCTTAGTTGATGAAACTACAAAAAAAAAAATTGACAGGATTGATGACCTTATCCAAAAGTCAAAATGACCACTACCTTGAAGGAAAGGAATAGGTAATAGTTGAGAAATGTCATGAGAGGATAGGGTGCTGGCATCTATTAAGATTTATGTTCAAGAAGACTATGGTTACTTTTATTATAAAAGTTTGAAGGTATACCAAAAGATACAAGTGATCCAACAGAAATTAAGAAAGTAGGTTGAAGGTTGGGCATGGTGGCTCACACTCTGTAATCCTAACACTTTGGGAGGCTGAGGCAGGAGGATCACTTGAGGCCAGGAGTTCAAGACCAGCTTGGTCAATATGGTGAAACCCCATCTCTACTAAAAACAGAGAAAAAATTAGGCAGGGTGGCACAGGCCTGTAATCGTAGCTACTTGGGTGGCTGGGGCATGAGAATTGCTTGAGTCTGAGCCTGAGAGAGAGGCGGTTGCATTGAGCAGAGATCGCACCACTGCACTCCAGCCTGGGTGACAGAGCGAGACCTTGGGGAAAAAAAAAAAAAAAACAAAAAACAAGGAGGGAGAGAGAGAGAAGGAGACAACAAAAAACAAGGAGAGAGAGAGAGGAAGGAAGGAAGGAAGGAAGGGAGGGAGGGAGGGAGGGAGGGAAAGAGAGGGAGTGAGGGAAAGAGAGGGAAGGAGGGAAAGAAAGGAGGAAAGAAGGTTGAAATAGGAATGGGACAGAAATACAATACTTTAAGATTTTTCTCTATAAATATCAGTATTGCCTGTATTTTTAAAGAAAAAGACCTATTATTAGTTGTATAATTTTAAGAAACATGATATGATTTGTAAGAAGTTGCTTTTTTTTCCAGTTTCGAAGACAAAGTGATCTTACATCTGTTGCTGAGGAAGCTGAGAACACTTTTTAACAACCCTAGAAATGTGAGAATTTTGCTGCTACAGATGCCTGATGTGGGTCCTAATGATATCCCTGTATAACAAAGCAGTTACGAAGCCTACAGACTTTGTGCAAAATAAAATACAAGCAAGGTGAATTTTTCTCCTCAGTATTCAAAAATGTCTCTGCTCATATTTTTCTAGGCTGCAAGGGGAAAGCTTTTCCCTATTTAAATATGAGATTATTACAGAATGAAATTGTTATCTAGGTCCTCTGAATAGCTTTCAACTCTCCATAATAAAGCTTTTGTAAGAGACTGTCAAAAAGATTCATTATTATCTCTAGAGTGAAGGCTATAAAGACTTTGGCCATGATGCCATATAATTCACAGGGAAACTTTAAATACTTACGTCCGTACAAGTAGAAAGCACATTTTACAGTCTGAGTTCTTCTACTTTAACTGCTTCTACTTTAACAAAGTATGAATCAAAAGGCCTCTAATTCATATTTCCTTCACTGTTCTTTGACTTCTCTTCTCCTTATTTAAAGTTCCTTTCTGCCCTGAACATATCTGCTATCTTTCTTATCTTTCTTTCCCCTTGGTTCTTTCTTCTTATCATTGTTTGGATCATCTGTTCAACTGCTTTTCAAAGCAGACAGACTGTTTTTCCACAATAAGGAGAATTTTCTAGAAATCTGTTCTGAATTCAGTTCACCCTCTCTTCTAATATGGAACATTTCTTCAGAAAGATGTTTCACTGATTGCTATCTAACGCTGTAAACTGAGGTTACTTGATTCTAAGAATTTCCGTGCTTAGCTCATTTTTTTTCAGATTGTCTACTGTATGCCAATGAATAATATATTAAGCTCTGGAGTATCAGCAATTAATAAGGTACCTGATGACAAGAAGACTTTATTTTAGGGGAGGAAACAAACAGCTACCAAATTAAGACTATGTATGACATATAAATTAAGAGTATAAAAAAGTAGAAATAAGACAGAAGAAATAATCCTTCAGATGTGAAATAAGAGGAATAAAGCTTTATGAAAGACCCCTGAGCAGGGGATTAGTAGTTTACCAGGCAGAAAGGTAGGAAGACATTTTGAATAGAAGATTTTAGCTTATTAGAAATGTGGGAGAGATCACAGCTAAAATAAATATATTAAAATCTAATGACAGGGAGGAGGAAGTCAAGGGTGAAAGCTGGAGAGATTGGGGGAGGTCAGATAATAAAGAAGTCAAATCACCAAAAAGTTAATACTAAAGTATTGAACTAAATTTTGCAGACAGTGGGGGGCCATTGGAAAGTATTTCAATAGGAAAATTACAGGCTTGGATTTACATTGAAAAAAAGTATGAAATATGGGAAAATGCGATAGAAAGTATAAATTTGATTAAAGCAACTGGATTGTGGGAGGGAAAAATGAAGTATTATTGTAGTGATTCAGAGAAGCAATGAAACGTGGTAACTTTTAGCCTTACTGGCTGATTAAACATGAGGTGTGAAGAAATCTAAAATAATCCCCTAGTTTCTGGATTAGATAAAACCTACAGTGATATAAAGCATATAAGACATAACAGAATTGGATAAAATGACAAATTCTATTAGGATAAGTTGAGTTTGAGGTAACTATAGAACATCAAAGTAGAGATGTCAATTAAGTAGTTGAAAATACAAATCTGGAAACAGAGGAAAGATCAGTTATAAACTGATTGATTTTGATGGTACTTAAAAATATTGAGGGTTGATGTTACCATGATAGCAGACTAGAAAATAACCTACTCATATCTCCCAGAACAATAACAATTCTGCACCCATTTTCCAAGTCAAAAGTCTCTCTGCAGGAGCCTCAGGATTCAGGTAGGAGTTTGTCAAATCCCAGTGGAGAGTCATTTTTAGAGTGCAGACCAACACCCAAGTGGCTGATTTGCCGAGATTGCTTGTAGATTCAAGCCCGGTAATATCCTAGCCCTCGAAGGGGTTTGTTTAAAGCCTCATTTGGCTTTGAGCCTACAACCAAAACCATCTACCAAGGGTTCCAGAAGGAATCATGCACACCAGTGCCGTGGTGGAAAAAGGCTTGTCTGCCTGCTGACATCGATCTTGGCAGTGACCCTGAAAGGTGCACTGTGGCTCTGCTTCAGCCTTCCTTAGCTGAGGTCCCAGCTCAGAGCTACTCACCCAAGAACCCCAAAGTGAGACTCACTCATCTCTTGTAACCCAGAATTCTGAGCCTCCATGATGGGTTTGCCAACTTCTGTCCCACAGCAGATCCCAAGGGGGTCCACTCTCAGCTCCAGTGCCTCTCACTGCAGTGAGAAACTATCCCATCTGTGCTGAGAATCTGCTGGGAAATGAGTACTTGTCTGGGCCAACAAGATGAGTATTCCATCCTACATCACAAAGGAGACCCCAAGGGAGCCCAGTCTCAGTTCCAGTCCCTTCTGCTGCAGTCAAGGAATCATCCCATTTTTGCAAGGTCCTCCTGGGAGACATGTGCCCTCTGAGCCAACAAGACTGAGCTCTATAACCTTTATCCCACCGCAGATCCTGAGGGGCCCCAATCTCAGCTCTGGCCCCTCTCACTGCAGTTGAGGAACTATCCTATCTGTGCAGGAACTTGCTGGGTGGCATGCACCCCTCTACACTGAAATTGACCTCCTCATCCTCTGTCTCACTGAAAATCCCAAGGGGGCCCAATTTCAGCTCAAACCCCTCCTGGTACAGTCAGGTAGCTATACCAGCACCCCACCCTTTGTTTCACAGCAGATCTTGAGGAGGGCCAATCTCAGCTCTGGCCCTTCCTGCAGCAGTCAAGAAACTAGCCCACTTGTGCAGGAATCTGCTGGATGATGCATGCTTATCTGAACTGACATGGGCCCACTAGCCTCCTTCTCACAGCAGTTCCCAAAAGGCCCAGTCTCAACTCTAGCTACTCTTGCTGCACTTAGGGACACAGCCTACCTGTACAGAGACTTGCTAGGCGGTGCGCCTATCTGGGTCACTGGGTCAGTCATTCAGCATTTTCACACAATCCCAGTACCCTTCTTGAGTCCTTCCCAGGTCCATCTGGATCAAAAAGCTATGTCAACCTTGAAGTCTTCAAGAGGTTCACAGTAAGCCTGGGCTTAGGGTGTCTTATAATGCTGAGATAGCTGCAGTGGTCACAGGCTCTGGTAAAACAACAGTAAGTCAGCCTAGAATCCCTGGAAATCCCTCTAAAGGACAGGCACAAACAAAGCCAGTCTGTGAAGAATGAAATAAATACCTAATCCCTGAATGCATGGATATTGTTACACTTCCACAAGCATCAAGAACATTCAGGGAAATATGACCTCAACAAATGGAGAAAATAAGGCACCAGAGACCAACCCTAAAATGATGGAGATGTGTTCTCTCAGACAAAGAATTCAAAAAAGCTGCTGTAGGGAAGCCCAATGAACTTTAAGTAAACACAGAGAATCCATTTAGAAATTTATCATAGAAATTTCAAGAGAGATTGAAATAATTCAAACAGAAATCCTGAAGGTATAAAATACAATGAATGAAATGAAAAATTCAATAGTGAGCATACACAGCAAAAGTGATCAAACAGAATAAGCAGTGAGCTCAAAGACAGATTATTTGAAAATATACAGTCAGAGGGGAAAAAAGAATGAAAAATAATAAAGAAAGCTTACAGGACCTATGAGACAACATTAAAAGACAGCATATTCAGGTTATTGGATTCAAAGAGGGAATTGAAAAAGACAAAGGGATGGGAAGCTCATTCAAATAAATAATAACATGAACTTTCCAAACCTGAAGAAAGATATAAATATCCAGGCACAGAAAGGTTAAAGGTCATCAATCAGATTTAACACAAGTAAGAACACCCCAAGACATAAACACTAAAAGGCAAAAGACAAAGAGAGGATTCAAAAAGCAGCAAGAGAAAAGAAACAAAATATAAGGGAGATCCAATACACATGGCAGCAGCAGACTTCTCAGCAGGAATTTTACAGGCCAGGAGGGAGTAAAACAATATATCCAGAGTGCTAAAGAAAATGCCAAACAAGAACACTGTACCCAACAAAGCTATCCTTCAGAAATGAAGAAGAAAGAAAAAGCTTTAACTGACAAATGAAAGCTGAGGAAATATATTGTTACTACACCTGTCCAACAAGAAGTGCTAATGGAAGTTCTTCAAACCCAAAGAATAGAATGCTAAGGTGATTGTTAAATTGATATTGTAACTATGGTGTTTAAACGATTTATATCTTCAGTAAGAAGACTAAAAGCCAAAACTATTAAAAATAACAACATTTTAAACTACTAAAAATAAAAATATTGCCTATCTTAAATAGGCAATATTTATCAAGAAATTTTAAGAGAGATTGAAATAATTAAAACAAAACAGAAATCCTGAAGGTATAAAATACAACTATTTTAAATAGGCAACATTTTTTATAAAGTAAACTGTGACTTCAAAAATTCAAAATGTGGGGAGAGAAGGAAGTTAATGTATACAGGGTTGTTTTTTCTTTGTGTTATGTGCAATCAGTTCAGTTGGTGTTAGTTTTAAACAACTTGCTATAGCTATAAGATGCTTCATATAAGCATAACGGAAACCGCAGAGTAAAAAACTATAATCGATATCCTAAAAATTAAAAACAATGAATTAAAACATGCTACCAGAGAAAACCACTTACGCACAAAGGAAAACAGTAAGAAAGGAAAAGTTACACAACAACTATAAAACAAGTAGCAAAATGGCAGTAGTAAGGCCTTCCCTGTCAATAATAACACTGTTACTAAGTAAATTAAATTATCCAGTTAAAAGACATACAGTGGCTGCATGAATTAAAAACAGAACCTAACTATATGCTGCACACAAGAAATTTACTTCACTTATAAAGACACACACAGATTGAAAGTGAAGGATGGAAAAAGATATCCCACGCAAATGGAAACCAAACATGAACAGGAGTAGCTGTGCTTACATAATATAAAATAGACTTTAAGTCAAAAATTATACAAAAAGGCAAAAAGGCTATTGTATAATGATAAAGGTGTCACTTCAACAATAGGAGATAACAATAGTAAATATGTATGCACCCAACACCAGAGCACCCAAATATATCAGCAAATATTAATAGATTTGAAATGAGAGATATACTGTAATAC